AGCGTCATGAGGCTGCGGAGGATCCATCTGCATTGTACAGCGTAGTCAACAAAAAACCAAGAGTATTGACATAACATCTGTGTTCTCTTAAACAGTGTTCAAACAGTTTAAACACACATGTATAAATATAAGGTCTGAGTTATGACATTCACTGCTAGATTACTAGTATCATGTAGCTAACGTATGCTGAAGCTTGTAATTTATAAATTCCAACACAGAAAACTATTTTTAAGCTTGTCAAAGTAGCCTACATGTCTCTATGTACAATATATATTTACCACTATCTTTTTCTGCTCTGCTGTTCAGTTTAATTGCCGTTTTATTGTTTAACATGTTGATAATATTCATTTTATTCATATTTAACTTCTGCTTCATTATCATTATAAGTTAGTGTTTTGTTAAAGTACTCATCCCATAACTTAAATATTTTTTTTTTGTAATTTGTAAAACTGATTTGATGTCACTGATTTGTATTGTTTGTAAGTAACCATATCATTAAATAAAGTTATTCAGTTAATTACCTGTTACTGATTGTCAACATTTCTAAGCAAGGTGTTTAATGTTTAAGTGACGAGGGAGCCAGAGGGACATCCTAATAGTTTTATAAGTTGCTTCATCTCAAAACAGTGTATTATTATGAACTCCTAATGAGACTATGACTACATTGGTGAGAGCTATGGCTCATGGATGTCTATAAATCAAAGGATCGGAGGTTCAATCCCCTACAGTCAACATGTCAAACTGTCCTTCGGCAAGATATATAAGCCACATTGGGTCCTGCATGTCTACCGTATTGAAGTGTAGGTAGGTTGCTTTGGATAAAAGTGTCAGCTAAATTACATTAAACTTAAGTAATACTAACAGTATTAGCATCACAGTATACTTGAAGAACTAAATGAAAAGTACTGTACTTACTGTAGGGGAGAGTGGGGTAATATGAGCCAATTTTTTACTTATGTTGTCCTCTAGGCAAGGAACAATTTGATTAAAGTAAAAATGAAAACAACTACCATTATTTCCGGATGTCTTCTGTCAATCCAAATGATAATAAAGCATCTGTTAAAAAAGGGCCATGAAAATATGACTTTTCAAAAAAAAGTTGTCTTTTGTCTGATTGCTTGCTAATATTTTTTTCCTGATAAGTAACTAGCCCTTTCATAAATGAATTATGTTCCAGTCAGGAATGTTTTACTACTTATTTGTATTGCTCTTGAGGCAGAAAAAACAAGATTTTTTCAAAGATATTTTTAAATGTCCACTCAGCTGGACAGGATGCGTTTTTGTTGTCCACTGAAAACATATTCTAACAAACAAATGAATAAAATGATACATAAAGATGTGCAAACTTAAGATTAGTATATGTAAATATAAACACAATTTAGGAATACTCTCTATCTCACTCTCCTGTATAGAGCACATGGAAACAGTAACCTACACACACCACTGGCATACAGTTAGACTATCCGTTAGAGTCTCTGTTATATTTGAGTGCCTACTCAACTCCCTCAGCATTTACATCCTCTTCCTCATCCTCAATTCCCTCAGCTTCCTCAGCCTCAACTCCCTCAAAATGTATATATAAAAACTTCAAATTACTCTAATAACATAAGTATATTGATTAACAGCCCAAAAGGTTACTGCACATGAAGTACTTTCAAAAACAACAGTAGCAGTAACTGTATGAATTGTAGTTCAAATATAGCCAGTGATGCATGATGTCCACTTTAGTGGACGGATGATTAATCGTAATTTCCTCCCAACATAAAATCACTACTTTGACATGTTATGCATTATATGAGTCCTTAGTTGTTACTTGATGTCACAAACATTTGTATACCTCCAAGGGTCACTTTCCATAGAAGGATTTGCAAGATATTGATGAGTGACTGGGTCAGTCATCAATAGGGTCTGGCTGTCTGTCGACCATCTTGGTTTTGATAAATGGATCCTGCACTTACAACAACTTGCCACTGAGTGGCAGTGTATGGGATGATGCCATAGCGTCCACTGTGGAGGCTGATGTGCAACTATGCCATCAAAACCCATGCATATACAAGAAAACATATTTTGAATATCTGTCCACTGTAGTGACCTCTATCCGTAAAGGGCTAGAATAAGCCAGTAACTGCATGGAAAGTTTGCAAAACAACGGTAATTTCATCATTTCAATTGGGGGATTCCCAACATCCAGCAACCCATGCATACTAATGAAGTAAAGAGGAAGGAAGCCAGGCCTTCTTCTGTCATCTGTCTAATAATGTCACCAGATAACAGAAGTTTTGTTTCAACACCACATCCTTCTCTGTTCTGAGCAGAGCAGATTTGAATAGCAGATAATACACAGTACCTTCTGACATGTTTATACACACAAAGAGACGAGTTGAGCAGCGATGAGTCTAACAGCAGCAGTGCGTGGGTTTAGTCTCCTTCTTATCTCTCTACAAGGTACTGTACATCTTCATTTGTATTTTTAAAGATCTATTCTATAGGACTTGTTGTTCCTTTTCCATAATGGTACACTTACCTTAATTAAAGGACCGTGAGGCTAGGTAGATTTAAGCTGAGAAAGGTTGAGTTATTACCCATAATGAGTCACTGGAGCCCCTATAGATTTGATCATCTATTTGATATTAACCTTTAAAATCATGCAACACAACACAATCGTTGAAATTGGAAAATAAAAGTGAACTTATTTGAGTTTTATGTATCTTAGTGGAGGAAGTCATCAGTCTTGGTCGCTTAGAATTTTTTTTTACAATTCCATTAGTATAAAGCAACATGTCTAAGAGATGTAAGTGTTTCTTTAGCTTAGATCTAGTTTGGACCTGCCACGCTCACACGGAGAAGGAACAACATGTGTTCATAGACAAAAGGCTCAAAACATAAGGCTTAAAAAACGTTAAATGCTGATTTAGGGCAGACAATCCAGACAGTGCCATTGACCTCATTGTGCCATGTATGCTCCCCTAATAAGACATTAGATTAACAAGATTACGGGCAGTAAAAGTTTCACATCTCTTTTTGTTGCATGTCTCTTGTATCGCTGCCATGACATGCCACGCCCCACTAACAACTCATTCTCTGCTTCTTCTTTTCTGAAAAGCACTTTCCTGTTACCTCACTGATCCTTCAAACACTATGATGCCCTGCTTCACTGTTACTCAGATAGATAACTGAAGAAATGCACGATGCTTAAAGGAATACTTTAAATGGAAATGAGCATTTGTATATCAATATAAAAAAGTCAGGTGAAATGGAAGTGAATGGGGGCTGCGTTTAACAAAAGACAAAACTGAATAAAAACATCGATTTATAAGCTTCAAACAACTCGTGCATTATAATCACTACTTCTAAAAAGCTTGCATACTTGACTATTAATCACACTTCTGCAAAAACATTCACGCTTGAGCCGATGTGCAACAGTCCATAGTAAAAAAAGGTGTAGAGAGCAGTGAGCATAGAACTTTTTTTAGAGTAAGGGTATCACCAAAAGAGCTGTGACGATGTGAACAATATTCCGTTTTTTTTTAATAAGCTCAAATACCTGCACATATTAAATTCAGTCAAATTATATTGTTATGAGTCTGATTGTGGTTTCTGTTGTGCTCTGTGTTACAGTGGTTCAGGGTCAGAATGGCTGGGGAGTGACTTTCTCTTCTACTGAGATCTGTGCAGTGAAAGGATCAACAGTGGAGATAAGATGCCGCTTCACATACCCGTCCAGATGGAAAGATAAGGAAAACATAGTAGAGAAAACATTCTGGTTTGTTGAAAAGAAAGATCTTGAACCTGTAGATCTGACCACAGTCTCAGAGTATTCAGGTCGTGTAGAGAATCTCTGTGAAAACAACAGATGCACTCTGAGAATCAGTAACCTGAGAGAGAGCGACTCAGCTGTGTACAGGTTCAGCATCATAACAAACCAAGACGTTTATGCTAGTGAACCAGTCACTCTGTCTGTCACAGGTAATACTTTGTTTGTAACTTTGTAAGTTAGCTCAACATTTGGTCAACACTGCAGTGAATGTCAGTGCCTCTACTACACGTACAATGACAGTTCAGTTTAACATGTTTGTTCCTTACAAATCCAGGTCTCCAGGTGAAGGTGACCAAAACAAGTTCCTGCAGAGGAAGCTGTATATGGGCTACCCTGGAGTGTCTCAGCAGTTGTCCTCGAGCTTACCGTCGTTCCTACATCTGGTACGAGAATGGACTGAAATCGCCAAAACAAGGAGATTCTTTTAATGACTATTTCTATCCTAAAGAAAGCTATGCCTGTGCTGTTAAAGGATATGAGAATTCCCCCTCTCCTTCAGTGTGTGAGTTCACTTACAGTCTTCCACCAACATGATGCTATACCTTATTACATAAAAGGGAGACACTGTCCACAGCAATACATTCAGCCTTGAGTTAAGGCAATTACATTTTCATAATAATTAACCAAAGATATTTCATTTTTCAGGTGTTAAAGGTCAATACTGCGATACAGTGGCTTACAGTGAAAGAAGCATCTGTGCCTTCAAAGGATCCTCAGTGAACATTTCCTGCACGTACAGCAGTTATGAAAATGTTCAATCTAAGTTCTGGTTCAGACCTGAGCGTAGTCATCAGGACCTTAGTACAGACTCCCAGTATTCAGGTCGTGTTGTGGTTCTTTCACCATGGAGAAGACGCTCCACTCTGAGGATCTCTGACCTGAGAGACTCAGATTCAGCTCAGTATCGCTTCAAATTCAAAACACAAAACTTTGAATGGAGGAGCAGTTTACCTGGTACAACTCTGACTGTCACAGGTACTGATCAACACACACTGATGATGTTGTTAATGTAGCAGAATTACATTTGTTGTTAAAATATATGTATTTGTCAGGGAAATATATTATTAAGAGTGCTTTTGTGCATGTTTTAGACCATGTTTAGATAAGACAGTGTCTTTAGGAAAGTGTTAATATGATTTATTCAATGATCTAAAAAAAAAGAATCCCTGTCTCTTTTTCACAGAACGAGAATTAGAGGTGCAAGTGATCAAGTCTTCCTCTGGTACAAAGCTGGTTTGTCTCAGCAGCTGTCTTCTTACTGGTCATCCTACATTCGTTTGGTACAAGAATGAAACGAAGATTCAGGGAGAAACATCTGCTTCTTACGGAGAATACGTTGATTCTGCAAACAATTATTCCTGTGGCTATGACGGTTACCGCTCTCGCCCAGTGTGTGAGTTTTACTCCACTTTATCACAAACTAAATCTCATCTGGCGAAGTACAAATACCCTAAAATCTGTTCAATATTTAGGGATAATGTCCTTATTATCTCTCACAGCTATGTACAGTAAAAGCAACATTTAAAGGCACTTTGTGGAGATTTGGACCACTATTAGCACAATGGAGCATTGCTTTTTTTTATGAGTGATCTTGTAAACATGCATACAGGCTTAATTAACACACTGCTGTTGCTTTCATGCTGATTCCAGTGATCAACGCTTGGCTGTGGTAATGCTAAGATAAGCTTAAATATGTGACAGCAAAGAGAATGAAGAGGAAAACTGCAATATTGCAAAAGTATAACACATGGATTTAGTTTGTACTATTGGTGTTTGTAAGTGTATGAGTAACACTCACTATTGTTCTTATGATCTCCTCCAGATGGTCCAAAGCTTCCCTTGGTGTTGATGAGTCCTTCTGGTGATATTATCGAGGGCAGATCAGTGACTCTGACCTGTAGCAGTGATGCTAACCCAGCAGCTAACTACACCTGGTACAAGAGGAACCAAAAACTTCTCATTGAGACACCACAGCTTGTCTTTAACTCCATCAAATCCTCTGAATCTGGAGAGTGTTACTGTACAGCTGAGAACAAGCTGGGGAGGACATCTAAAAGCTTCTTTATTGATGTGAAATGTGAGTTAAAAAACGTATTTTAAAAGGCTTTACTCTGTAAAATGTGTTGCATCTAGATCACAAAGGACAGGTTTAGCAGATTATGGCTGTCCTCTTTACATTCACAGTAGCTGTAGTTCATTGAGAAGTTCCAGTAGAAGTTGAAGACTGCACTGTTCAGGGAATTAAAACTGTCTTTTTCCTCACAAGCCATTGTCCAAAGTTTAAAATACTGCAATATGAATTCATAAAAATCTAACACATCCCCTCCAGATCCTCCAAAGCCCCCCTCTGTGTCAGTGAGTCCCTCTGCTGAGATAGAGGAGGGCAGTTCAGTGACTCTGACCTGTAGCAGTGATGCTAACCCAGCAGCTAACTACACCTGGTACAAGAGGAACCAAACCCTGTTTCAGGGACCAGAAGGAAGATACAATGTCACCTCCATCAGCTCTGAGGACAGAGGGAACTACTACTGCAAGTCTGAGAATCAATATGGAGAGAACAAGTCATCTCCTCTATCAATAGATGTCCAGTGTGAGTACAAAACATAAGTTAATAGGACATTCCTGTGACCCACAAGCAAACGATTTATGCCTTGTAGCTCAGTTTTCCTGAAAGATCTATTGAAAATCACCAGAGAAATGAGAATGTAATGTTAGCGTCTCGATAGATAGATAGGTAGATAGGTAGGTAGGTAGGTAGGTCGGTCGGTCGGTCGGTCGGTAGGTAGGCAGGCAGGTAGGTAGGCAGGCAGGCAGGCAGGCAGGCAGGCAGACACTTTATTGATCCCAAATTGGAAAATTATGTTGTCACAGTAGCGGCAGTGTGTTCATGCATTAAAAAAACCTTAAAGGTGGAAAAAAGGTATAAACTTAATTAAATACAATTAAAAACAATAAACAGCATCAGTATAGAGTAGCGAGGACATGAATCACAAAGAACACTGTACTGTATATAAATGTTCTAGATAAGTTAGATAGTTCTATGAACGACCAATATATGACAGTATCAGAAACATACATATGATAGTAAAGTCTATTTGTTTACTGAAAGATGATAGCTCTTAAACAAAATATATAACCTTTGTCCAAAATGAGCATTGTTTGCAAAGTAATGTTAAAGGTAGGGTATGTCAATTATTTCAGAAACACTTTTTGTTGTATTCCATGGAATGCTCTTAACATCCCGATAGCAATGAATATATTAAATGCTTTGACAATAAATACATTAAAAAAATTCATCTGTGGAAGCCGCTGTAAAAAGCATGACCAATCATTTGAGCCGGCCCGGCTAACATAACTGGATGGCCTACCTTCCTGTCAGCCTTCCATCTGTGCACAAACTTATCTTGTGCCCTCATTGGTCATGTGCGCGTTCGTGTGTGTTGGAGGAGGGGCTCTGTAAGGAAGTCTGAAGGAAGGGGCAGATTTTTTCCGGCTGTGTATTTTCAAATTCTAGCGCACTCGAGCTGGTTTCTCCAAAATTACCTACCCCACCTTTAACATTTAAAACATACTTCACCATCTGATCTGGGTCTCTCTGAATCTCCAGATGCTCCAAAGCTCCCCTCTGTGTCAGTGAGTCCCTCTGCTGAGATAGAGGAGGGCAGTTCAGTGACTCTGACCTGTAGCAGTGATGCTAACCCAGCAGCTAACTACACCTGGTACAAGAGGAACCAAACCCTGTTTCAGGGACCAGAAGGAAGATACAATGTCACCTCCATCAGCTCTGAGGACAGAGGGAACTACTACTGCAAGTCTGAGAATCAATATGGAGAGAACAAGTCATCTCCTCTATCAATAGATGTCCAGTGTGAGTACAAAACATAAGTTAATAGGACATTCCTGTGACCCACAAGCAAACGATGTATGCCTTGTTGCTCAGTTTTCCTGAAAGATCTATTGAAAATCACCAGAGAAATTAGAATGTAATGTTAGCGTCTCGATAGATAGATAGATAGGTAGGTAGGTAGGTAGGCAGGCAGGCAGGCAGGCAGGCAGGCAGGCAGGCACTTTATTGATCCCAAATTGGAATATTATTTTGTCACAGTAGCGGCAGTGTGTTCATGCATTAAAAAAAACGTAAAGGTGGAAAAAAGGTATAAAGTTAATTAAATACAATTAAAAACAATAAACAGCATCAGTATAGAGTAGCGAGGACATGAATCACAAAGAACACTGTACTGTAAATAAATGTTCTAGATAAGTTAGATAGTTCTATGAACGACCAATATATGACAGTATCAGAAACATACATATGGTAAAGTCTATTTGTTGACTGAAAGATGATAGCTCTTAAACAAAATATATAACCTTTGTCCAAAATGAGCATTGTTTGCAAAGTAATGTTAAAGGTGGGGTATGTAAATTATTTCAGAAACACTTTTTGTTGTATTCCATGGAATGCTCTTAACATCCCGATAGCAATGAATATATTAAATGCTTTGACAATAAATACATTAAAAAAATTCATCTGTGGAAGCCGCTGTAAAAAGCATGACCAATCATTTGAGCCGGCCCGGCTAACATAACTGGATGGCCTACCTTCCTGTCAGCCTTCCATCTGTGCACAAACTTATCTCGTGCCCTCATTGGTCATGTGCGCGTTCGTGTGTGTTGGAGGAGGGGCTCTGTAAGGAAGTCTGAAGGAAGGGGCAGATTTTTTCCGGCTGTGTATTTTCAAATTCTAGCGCACTCAAGCTGGTTTCTCCAAAATTACCTACCCCACCTTTAACATTTAAAACATACTTCACCATCTGATCTGGGTCTCTCTGAATCTCCAGATGCTCCAAAGCCCCCCTCTGTGTCAGTGAGTCCCTCTGCTGAGATAAAGGAGGGCAGTTCAGTGACTCTGACCTGTAGCAGTGATGCTAACCCAGCAGCTAACTACACCTGGTACAAGGAGGATGAAGACTCTCCAAAAGCTTCAGGACAGATCTTCAACATCACGGTCGTCAGAGCTGAACACAGTGGGAGTTATTACTGTGAAGCCCAGAACAAAATGGGACGTCAAAGCTCCCCCTTACTTATACTTTTTTGGGCAGGTAAGATCTTTAAATGTATCTACATACACCTTTTTACTACAGATGTATGTAGGTGGTTGCAGAAACCCCTCTCACATCCTTCCCCTTAAAGGAACAGTTAGCCCTCAATCCGAACTACATATATTTCCTCTTACCTGTAGTGCCGTTTATGAACCTAGATTGTTTTTATGTGAAGCGTTGAATGTTGAAGCTATTAACCAAATAAATGTTTCTGCCTACGCTCAAATTAAATGCAAATACATTAAACTTAGCTTGCTCAAAGTGGCAAAAAGATACATGTGAAAAAACACAATCATGACTAGTGAAGATAATTCACAGACCTTGTTGCGAGCATGTTCGTTTAGGAACTACTGTCTTGTTATCATATTACCGTGTAGAGGAAGAGTAACATTACAGCTCAGTCGAAGAGGAAGCAACTCATTTTGAACTCTCATTCATGCCACCAACAGCAGGAGCGTCATCCATGTGTAGATGCACGCTTCTTTTTCTGCAGTGATTCGGTTGGTGGATGTAGAAAGAAAATATACTCTCATCAAGGTCTACCGAAGTGTCTTTCTTCTGCAGAGAGACATTGATGTTGATTTTTTCAAATGTTGGCTTTGCTGCTTTGAGCATCACAAGCTTTTAGAAAAGGCCGACTTCCCTACGGTAGATATTTACAACACTCTGCAAATGGCACCTAACAACTGTCTATTCAATCAAAGTAAAATAATGTCCTGGGAAAAACCAATGTAAATTAATTCTTTGCAACACTTTTAGACGATCTTGGTGCAATGTAATGAGTTGTAAATACTCAAACGTCTTGTATTTCCTTCACTATTGTCAGAATTTGAATATTCAGGTGCATGGAAATCAGCAGCTACAGGAACAATCACTGTTGTCCTCCTGGCTATCATCCTCATCGCTATCTTCATATGGTTTAAGTAAGCAATTTTCTCTCACTATGATTGTGGTCTCTAATGCAGTTGTAGTTAATTAATTAATTTACTCATCCTATTATCCAGGAGAAATAAGTCTGATGGTGGAGAGAAGCCTGACAACAATGCACAGGTGAGAAAACACACACTTTCTGTACCTCTTATGGCTTATTAATAATAACCCACCCTCTCAGTACTGGGGTTAATTTCATTAAAGATGATTAGTAGTTAAAAGTTATTTCAGTTAAAAAATGTTACCCACTCACTATTTGAATATTTTCAGGTCGAGATTTTGAGCAGTGGTGACCCAAATTTAATTGTGGTTCATTGAATTGAATATACTAAGACTAATACTTAAACTAATACTAATACTAGTAATAATAGAAAAATAGAAAAAGAAAAAGTGATAATATGATTTAGATAACAGTTCTTAAAAATACTGCAATATTTATGGGGGTTCTTAAGAAAAGAGTAATTGTAAAATATATATTTCCCCAAAACTAATGAAGCACTTAAAGCAGGCTGGCAACAGTTTTAATGTACATTTTTCTTTTAAATTGTTCAATAGATTAAAACTGTGTTATGTGGATTATAATTTGGTTTCTGGAGAGGTTTATTAATCCTTTCAGCATCACAATCATAATCACAGTCAACTCCATTGCTTTGGCTTGGGAAATTATTTTAAGAATTATGAATGTGCAGACCGTCAAGGCTAAGATAATTGACTTTAAAATGTCTCACTTTAACTTTTTTGGATTCATTGAACTGAATTGTGGTTTCTTCTCTGGGAGGCGTGTGGTGCAGTGGGTTGTGCGTTGGTGTTCGGATCAGGGGGTCACAGGTTCAAACCCCACTGCAGTCAGCATGTCGTTGTGTCCCTGAGACACTTCACCTCAAATTGCTCCTGTGGGGATTGCCCACAGTATTGAGTATGTAAGTTGCTTTGGATAAAAGCGTCTAACAAGTGACATGTAATGTAATGTAATGTTCATATACAGTAGGATAAATAAAAAGCCCCCACTTTCAGCTTACCGTTCCCCTTCTGGAAAATAAAACATGTTTTAATAAATTAAATTACATGATTTCACTTCACAGCGGTCCGCGAACACCATGTCAAGGCGGACCAGAGACTTAGGTAGAAATAGTAAAGAATTAAAGAACAACCTTAATCCCACCGTGAATCCAACAGGTTTTACTGGTTTTACAGTTTTTAAAAAGGGCTTTAAAGTGGGCTTTTTATGTGCTGCAATTATGAGTCAATGTTGCTTATGTGCTGACATTGTGCTCATGACTTTTCTGTGCTTATGTGCTCTTGAATGTTTTTCTTTCAATGACATCAACCTGCCAGGGACTGCGTTTGAACATTTATCTCAAATAACAGTTACTTACATAAGTGAAAAAGACTGTTCTTTATGTGTATCAAGTAAGTTAATGGCCAAACCATGAGACAATTATGGTGACAATACCTTTTTTATTGATGCAAAATGAGGATCTTACAGACAGAAATTGTTACCATTCATCATCACCTGTAACCTTGAAACACCTAACAGATAAACTGGCACATGCTACCCTCTTGTGGTGAAATACTATAGAGCAAAGCAAATATTAACATACATTAGATGACATATATTTAAGCATGCATGTCTAATGACAATGGTGAGGTTATTCCGTGCAGCAGCAATAAAAACTGCATTTTTGCTTGCCTTCTGTTTTTTCCCGTCAGCTAAACATGGGCCCGGTGCATGACGTCCCTTCAGATACAGCACAACCAGCAGAAGAGCAGCATGACCTTCACTACTCCAGCATCCACTTGCCTCAGAACCAGGAAGACGCTCTGTACTCTAACATCGGGAGAGTGCAACCCCACAGACAAACAGAGGAAGATGAGGATATGGTTGAATATACTGCTGTCAAAACTCCAGGGTGAGCATCTTAATTCAATCTCTATATGATTAAGCACATACACATTTGGTTGGACATTATTGTTCTATTTTTCTCTTCACAGCCTGAGACGTCAAGAAGTTGGGGAGGATTTATTTGCACTCTACAGCACTGTCAATAAATGAAAATGGATCTGTCACCGGTTATTTATTGTACTAAGTTAAAACAAGAATGTCAGGAAATATGTCTAAGTGTAGCATTTATGCACCCATAACAAATATAAATGTGGGATTTGTAAACATCAGTTTGCTTGGTTATTGTTTATGGAAGGATTTCTTGAACCAAATTACAGAAAAATTAAAAGTCACATGTCCCTGTGGATATTTTATTTTTCCACCTCCATACACAGCAGGGTTTTTTCTCCATATTTTTTTATTTGGGTAAACTCTTCCTTTTTTGGAAAGCACTTTGAATTGCCTGGTGTTGAAAGGTGCTATATAAATAAACTTGCCTTGCCTTGTCACTTACTGTAATACTATATCAGCATTCTACAGTGCAAAAAAAATAAATAAAATACAAATACGTTCATAAATGTGTGTTATATTTCTCAGTAGTCAGTTTATTTTACTGTATTCAAAGTTGTATAATGCATGCACATGAATATCTTACCTATTGCCATGGTGTAAAGTAACTTAGTACATTTGCAAGTACTGTACAGTACTTAAGTACAATTTTGAAGGGCTTGTACTTTACTTGAGTATATCCATTTGTGCTACTTTGTACTTCAACCCGACTACAATTCAGAGGTAAATATTGTACTTGTATTACATTTATTTGTGGTAAATACTTGTGTATGCTGCTCTTGCTCTTTTGCACTTTTGCACTTTTTGCATATCATGTATTTTGTTTTTGCTATGTTTGTAAAATGTAATTTTCTTAAATGTTTTATGTGAGGGACTGCGGATGGAAATTAGCTCAAAGCTAAATCCGGCACTGTTACGCTTGACACATTTTAATGTTTGAAGTGTTCATTATTGTGCATTGTCCTTGCCAAATAAACGATTAAATACAAATAAATGTAATATCTAGATACTTTGCAGATTTGTATGAAGTTTTTATGAAATAATACTTTATTTACACTTGGAGTAACTTCCACAATCATACTAAGTAATTCAAACTAGCTGCACCTTTACAAGCTTTTTTAACACTTGTAATGGCAACTTTGTTTTTGTGTAGCTAACCCCCGCCACCAAGTGTTCAAACATAATATTGCACTATAAATATACATTTAAAAAACTGACATGCCAACAACACCCATACAATGGCTCCTATAACACTTACATGGATCAATAATTATAACGAAAATATACAATATATACTATTCTGTAATGTGCCAATTTGAATAAAGACTACTTCTACTTTTGGTACTTTAAGTATATTTTGATGCCAATCATTTTGTACTTTAACTTGAGTAACATTTTTAATGCAGGATTTTAACTCGTAACAGAGTATTCCTACACTCTGGTACTTCTACTTTCACTTTCTGAGTTATTCTTCCACCTCAAAATGTAAAAATAACAAACAAGTAAAAAGTGTAATGCAAAGAGACAGGATAAAAAACCACATATATAAAAAAGTACAATAAAACGTGTAGACATCTGTATATTTTTGTTGCGACGCTCGAATTTCCGAGCTTCCCTGAACTACCCAGTGCGATGATTTTGCTAAGAGTTTTTAAAACTTTTTTACTGTCTAGACACGCGTTAGACTGCGTATGGGAGGAGATGAATATGCACACATGCAGCTAATAAAACGTTAGCTGTCCATATCAGTACTTTTAACTGTTATTACTGTAGTGAGAGGAACTGTGTGCAGGTGAGTGTTTGTGCCTGAGAGGATGAACGCATGTGCACCTCTGCCCGAACGGGGGAGTGGGGGGATTGGGGAGGGGGTTGTTGGGTAAATGCTAAGCTAAGCTATCGGCACTTAGCATTGGAGACCACGCAGCGCGGCAGCAGGCCTACTGGAGAACAGAAGAACTGAGGTAAACCACGTTTTTTTTTTTTCATCCTTTATTACTTTGAAATCATTTGCCAATGCATTTAATTTTTTAAGAGCTGCAATGATTAGCTTAATTAGTATTGGGTGACTCTTTTGAGAATTGTTTAACCCTCCTGTTATATTCGTTTTTTGTAACAGCAATAATATTCGTGGGTCAATTTGACCCAGTGCATGTTTAATTATCCAAAAATGGTCAGAAGCCCCAAAATCCAGATTTTTTTTTGTACATAGTTTGTACCTTTTATTACTATCAATGAAATCAATATTTAGTGCAATTGTGTTATTCACCTCTCACAGATCATGGTTCCATTAGAATAAGTCACTCGTTTTTCACAAAACATATACATTCAAACACATTTTTCTATTTTCTTTTTTACATTGGAAAAACCTTGATATAAAATACATTAGTTTTGCATAACATAACATTTTTTAAATTACTTTTAAAATGTTCCAACTTTTTTTCCAATTGGTTGATGTTGATAAATAAAGACGAGACACCTCTTCTGTTCATTGTCAAATTGACCCGTTCACTTAGAATCAAGCCAAATGAGTCATAAGGATTTGTATTGAAAGTATTTTAGTGTGTGTGTGTGTGTGTGTGTGTGTGTGTGTGTGTGTGTGTGTGTGTGTGTGTGTGTGTGTGTGTGTGTGTGTGTGTGTGTGTGTGTGTGTGTGTGTGTGTGTGTGTGTGTGTCCTTCTAGCCTCCACTTTCACTGCCAGGTGCTGTCTGTCTGTTTCTCTGTCTGTCTGTTTCTGTCTGTCTCTCTCTGTCTGTCTGTCTGTCTGTTTCTCTCTCTCTCTCTCCCTCTCTGTCTGTCTCTCTCTCTCTCTGTCTGTCTGTCTGTTTCTCTCTCTCTCTCTGTCATGTCTGTGTCTGTCTGTCTCTCTCTCTGTCTGTGGAAAATTATGATATATACCGTATATCCCATTTGAACCCTCTGACCCCTTCTAGTGTGTGTGTGTGTGTGTGGTCAGATTGACCCAAATACCATCTCTGTGATATAGACATGTAGGGGGGGGTTCCAAATGCATGACATGAACCATTTTAATTGTACTTGTTTATTGCACTAATTAAGGTAAGGAGAAGAAGTTTCATACAAAAAAAATACTTTAAAGTATTTTTCGTAGATTTTCACACTTTCAAACGGGTCAATTTGACCCTGAATGTAACAGGAGGGTTAAGGCTAATCTTTTGTGCAAAAATAGCAGAAAATGCAGTTTTTTGCAATATGGAAATGTAATCTTTACATCACATTAAAGGGAGTTGCCTTTTTTTGAAGCTGTGGTGTACATCTTTCACAATTTTTCTCATACATAATAGCAAAACAATTAATTCAGAAAAAAAAATCTGCAGATTAAACATGCAAAGTGTAGTTCTGAGCAACTTGCTCCAAAGAAATAGGAGGCAGTATTTTACCTCTACCAATGGGTTCATACAATTTAAACTACTATGTTTTTTTAATAAGTTATTAAATAAAAACAGCCTATTATTACCTAGTCAGTTATTAAAGAGAACTTGTGCTGCAGTAGGTCATTTTTAAATGTAGTTAGTAGTATGGCATGTATTTCTGCCTACTTACTTAAGTGTATTCCTAATATTGTGTATTGTACTATATAGTTAGATTTTTCTCTCTTCTAGTGTTGATATATTTACTGTGTACTTTTTACTGCTAGTTTAATGTCCTCCACATGCCCTATGTGGAGTATTAATACAAATGGATCTGCAGATCTAAAAACATAACAAAAAATAAGCTCCTTTTTTAGAAGTTTTAAATAGTTTTGATGTGCCCAGGGCTATTATATTCTACACACCCATATCCTCTTATAAAAGAGTTTGCGGCACTAAACTCGTAGTATTGCCTCATGTCTGCTGGAAGGGTAAGTAAGCAATTATTTATAATGCCTTTTGTGTTTTTATGGTGATTTAACAGTGTTGTCTTGTAAGCTGTTGAGCTACTAAGGATCCAAACATAACATGAGTAAAATGTATTGTCTGGTTAGTGTAAATATAGCCTTTTAAGGCTTGTTTTAAGCTAAATATCTATAGAATATGCATTTAGTTAACACAAAAAACATGGAGGGGACATAATGTAATTTTCTGATGTAGTTGTGTTTTTTTAATGCTGCTGCTAGATCGTGGTAAAGAGCCACATTTGCTTAGTTGATACTAGTACGTCTAGTACATTTCTGTCACCTACTCATGGCTTCATTGTAGTTCAGCATAAATCTGTTGCTCTAAATTAAACAAGTTTATTTAAATGTATTCCTTGTATGGTGTATTGTACTATTTTAGCTATAGTATTCTCTCTTCTAGAGTCAATATTATTACTGTGTATTTCCACTCCTGATTAATGTATTGTGTTGGTCAGTAGGCACAACAGTTGCCTACCAGCAACAGTTGTGCCTACTGACCAGTTTGTATTACTATTCCTGGCACCCGATATTTCTGCAGTACTACCGCGACCCCCCCAAGGAACAAAGTCATGATGGTCCTTCAGTAAATACAACAAGGAAAGGTAAGTGTATTTTTATTGCTTTATAAAAAAACATTAAGATATAGTGCAACAGAAACACATTGTAAAGTAACTTGAGTTACAGTTATTCAATTCTACAAGAGGACTTGCATATATCACCTTAAAGTCAACATCTTTTGGGTTTGGCCATACAAAACAAGACAAAGAAGCTAGGGCGAACATTTTTACGAATGGGTTCTTACAATCTAAACTTTAGATTGTAATTAAGTAGTAACCAGTTATTTAAAACAAAGAATGCTGTAGTAGGTGACTCAAGTTTGTATTTTACTTGCAGTTCAGCTCCTTTCCGCTCTGCTCTTTGCTTACTTATTTGCATGCCAGAACTGCCACTTAAAACACAAGACTAGAGGATGTTAATGATCTTGTGACAATTTAGCAGTGGCACTCGTCAAATGAATATACTGATTTTAAAGCTCGGGGTCTAAAATGATCAGTCCTCCATATAGGCTTTGTAGAGTGTACAAACAAATACATTGGCGGATCGAAAAAAGCTCCCGATAAAAGCATTGTAATGCTTTTTAAAGTTTCGACGAGCACCAGGCTCTTCTTCTTCGCGCACCCATATCCTCTTCTGATTGAGGTTGCAACACAGAACTCCAGTGTTGCCTCATGTCTGCTGGAAGGGTAAGTAAGCAATTATTTATAATGCCTTTTGTGTTTTAATGGTGATTTAACAGTGGTGTCTTGTAAGCTAGTTGTTGAGTTACTCAGGATCCAAACATAACGTGTGTAAAATGTATTGTTTGGTTAGAGTAAGTTTAGCCTTTTAGTGATTGTTATGACCTTAAGCTTTAGAAATGTCTATATACTATGCATTTAGCTAACAGGAGGTTATTATTCAAAATTCCAATTTAGAAGTTAAAAACATGGAGGGGATTGATGTAGTAATAGGTTTTGACTCCTGCCCTCAGATGGTGGTAAAGAGCCACATTTGACTTGTAAATATTATGAAGTATTTCTAGTGCATTTCTGTCAGACACCAATGGGTAAAATCTAAACTTTAAATTGTAATGAACTGGTAATCAGTTATTAGATGAAGCCTGCTTTAGTAGGTAACTGATGTTTGTATTTGAGTTGCAGTTCAGCTCCATTCCGCTCTGCTCTTTGCTTACTTATGTGCATGCCAGAGACTGCAACATAACATACAAAATTAGAGAATGTGAATG